AAGGATTGAAAACAAATTAGGAGGGGAAGGGGTTTCATCCCCTTCCCTCTCCCTCCCCTCTATTAAAATTCATTAAAATTATCTAACCAAATAATAGAAGGTGCTCTCTCCTCCTCACTCTCCTCTCCTTCTCCTCCAACTTCCTCAATTCAAACAAAGTGTAAGAATATCATATGTTAGATGATTTTTGTAAAGCATGTGAGATCGATTGGCATTTTATTTCCTTGGAATTTGGATGGGTGTTGTCAATGGTTTTTCTGCTTATGGTTGGGGTGCTATTGGAAATTGGAGGGCTTTTGAATGATGACACCTATATTACAAGAGGTGGATGGGGATTGTCCCTTTTAGGTTTTAGACCTGGCAAACAAGCTGGTCAGGTTGGGTTAGGGTCAAGTCAGAATGGGTCACAGGTCAAAATGGATTGGGTTAAAACGAATGAAGGGTCAATAAAGATTAACCATAATCCACCAATTACGCATTACAAGTCAATCGGCGAGTTGACCCAATTGAATTTTTTTTCCTTTTTTTCTCTATAATTTGTACCTATTATCATCCAAAAAAAATTATTCAAAATATTTAAAAATGAAATTCAACATCTTATAAAAAGATTTTTTTCTCATTAATTTAATAAAACATATTTACAGTTTCTTAGAATTACTTTCTCCACTTCCTTTCAAAGAACAACACTTATCAAATTTGAGAACACCATACACTTATAAATCTTGATAGCAAAAAAAAAAAAAAAAGCAATAGTAGCATGACAACCAAAAAACACAAACCCCATTGGAACAGATTTGTTATGGTCATTGCTTTTAAAGAATCAATCAATTGAAAGCATCTAAGTAAGTAAAGGAGAAGGTCAACTAGAATTTTTACTCGGAATGGAAAGAAAACTAAAAAGCATAAACAAGTAAACAACTTACCTTGAAGGCTTTAGAGAAAAAAGTTGGTGACAAAGAGAGCACTTGTTGGACTTGAAGGAGAAAGAAAGAAAGGGCTAAGTCGATGCGGTGATGACTCAATGAGATTAAGATTTGAGTCTGAGATGATGTTAAAGACTACAGAAAAAAGGTGGAGTGAAAGCTTGAAAGTCAGAAGTTATATGGACTATGGAGGTTGAGGAATATGAGAAAGAGTTTGAACTTTGAAGAGTTAAAGTCTTAGAGAGTATTTAAAGTCTTAGAGAGTATTAGGATAAGCAAGAGTAAGAAAGGTCAGGAGGTGAGTCATGAGTGTAGTGGGATTATTTTTGCTTTTAGAAGATGATGAGCTAAGAGAATCAATTAGCTAATTAAAGAAAATTAGTCAATTATTAGAGGTTTAGGTGGAATTAGGAATTAGAAAACAAAATAAATAATAAATTACAAATTTTTAAATTTTCAAATAGGTAAATAGATCAAACTTATTAATTTGGTGGGTCAACCCGTTATTAATATGTGACCCATCGGGTTCTCTTAACGAGTCATTAACAAATCACATGTCATAAATCTTTAACTTTAACTCATTTTAAATGGACGAACTAACAGGTTGGGTGAAAAATTATTAGGTCTAAGTTTAATTCCTCTCCCATAACCTTTATTGTTGCAAGTCTAATTAGTTGAAACTTACAGACACTCAAATAGGGTAAGTCTCTTTTTTAACGTATCATCATCCCAACGACATTTTTCATAATATAAGAGACTCTTGCTACTAAATTGATTTATTTGAATATTACACATTTTTATATGTTAATGTTATAAATAGTTTTTCTTAATTTATAATGCATTTATCATAGATAAAATTATGTAATTTTTTAATCTTAATTATATATAAAATTATTATAATAACAAATTTTCTTTAAATTCTCAAATAAATACCTAATAAAATTTAAAAAAAAAACCCTTCACAAATCCATTTGCTTTAAAAAAAAATTATCAATAAATACTCAAGAGATTTTTATTAAAAAAACCTATTATAGAATAATTCAAAAAATTTATATAGATAAAAAAATTAATTCAATTTATAATTATAGAATAGAAGTGTGGGACTCAGATTAATAAGTGTAGAAGTGAAGGTTATGCAACTTAATTGGTACCTTTTTCTTTTTATTTTATTCATCTCATTAACTATAATTTAAAATTTTTATTTTATTTTTTTAAA